GCCCGGAAGATGGACAGGCTCCTGCTCAACCTGAGCCCCTCCCAGGGCCCCCCAGAGCAGCTACCTCTTCCTGGAGGAAATTGGGCAAAGCTTTCATGGTATTGGGCAGATTTAATGAAATCCTTACTGCTGAACATTATTGAGGACTAATGAAAATTCCAGCTTGTATGCAGGGCCGGGACAAGGGGTGGGTGGGAGGGGGGCGGCTGCCCTGGGCACTGTGGTATACTGAAGGGATGGGGCCACCTTCCATCTGTTACAAGGCTGACAGGAGTAGTGACAGTGGAAGTCATTTTGACTGCTGGGTTAGGATCCCCTGGGGGAGGGGCACAGTTTGGCATCTTTGGATGACCCTATCCCAGAACTGGTTGTATGAGCCGCATGAAACCATTGTAATGTCAAATTTCCATTCGCAAAATAAAATAGTATTTACTTGTTTTACACTTTTTTTTTTTACATTTCTTCAAATACTTCCTGGTTTCTGGTCTAGGCCAAAAGTAGGTCATACATCCCAGAAGTCTTAACGGGAGTAGCAGAGGCGGGGCTTCCTCAAATTAGCACACCCTCCCTTGTGGGGTGGATGCGGCGCGGTGCGGTGGCGGTAATGACACTGAGGCCCGGAGTGCCGTAACCAATGTACTAAAGAACTTCCAAAACGGTACAACAGCCCCGGAAGGCCACCTAGTGTGGGGGACATAGCTGGGAACCTACAGTCAATGCAGCAGAGAGTCATCAGTGGTAGGCCCGCGCTGAAGACTGCATCTGACGAGGGGGGTGGAGTGCGGCCAGTCTAACCCAAGAGGGAGCTTGGGAAGTGTAGAAATGGTCCTGAGGTTTCTGTACTCCTCCAGAACCTCTCCCTACCGCTAGTGCTGTCCCTGACAAACGCGGGATCTCTCCTTATACCAGCCACTCCACAAATGCATGCCAAAACCTGGGGGCAGGGACATAAAAAGGCTCTGCTTGACCCAAGATGGCTGCCAGGGTCACCTGGCTGCAGTGTGGCTGCTTCAGGAGACCGAGGAAACCAGAGATAAACCAAGGTTCTCTTGACTTCGTCCTCCGTCTGCAGTACCAGCAACAGTGGAGGAAACAGGCTGCACCTGTCCACATCCTGCTTGCATACCTGAGCTAAGGACAGATGGATTCCACGAAGTAAATGCTACATGAATCATCTGCCCTTACTCAAAATGGCTGCGGCTAGAAATGCTGGGGGGGGGGGGGGGGGGGGTTCAAAGTGATTTCTCAGCAAAATAAAGCATGAAGATATGGATGGATGGATGGACGGATGGAAAGATGGAGACATGGATGGATGGGGGTAGACATGGAGGAATGGGGAAGACATTGAAGAATGGATGGATGGGTGGATGGATGGGGGGAAATCCAAAGAACAGAGGCATACCGCTCAGGCAAACAATCTGTATCAATAACCAACAGGTGCAGGCTCCGGCTCACCACCACACACCATGCCACAGGGAGAAGGTCAGCCGCACCCCGGAGGATAGATGAATATAGTGTATATGTACTGATCCATAGGACACACAGATCACCAGGACATGAATACAGGACCTGATAACGCGTTTCACACCATCTCGTGCTTAATCATAACCAAAGGGAGACATGGATGGATGGATGGGGGAGACATGGATGGAGACATGGATGGATGGATAGATGGATGGATGGGGAAGACATGGATGGAGACATGGATGGATGGGGGGAGACATGGATGGATAGGGGAAACATGGAAGGATGGATAGATGGAAAAATGGATGTGATGGAGACATGGATGGATGGATGGGGGAGACATGGATGGAGACATGGATGGATGGATGGATGGGGGAGACATGGATGGAGACATGGATGGATGGATGGATAGATGGATGGGGGAAGACATGGATGGAGACATGGATGGATGGGGGGAGACATGGATGGATGGGGGAAACATGGAAGGATGGATAGATGTAAAAATGGATGTGATGGAGACATGGATGGATGGATGGGGGAGACATGGATGGAGACATGGATGGATGGGGGAGACATGGATGGATGGATGGGGGAGACATGGATGGAGACATGGATTGATGGATGGGGGAGACATGGATGGAGATATGGATGGATGGATAGATGGATGGGGAAGACATGGATGGAGACATGGATGGATGGGGGGAGACATGGATGGTGGGGAATTTTGGAGGGGGATTAGTGCTATAAGAGTGGATTGGGGAGGGGGAATTATGCTCAGAGGGGAAATTTTGGGGAGAGATTAGTGCTAGGAGGGGGGATTGGGGTGCAAGGATTAGTGGTAGGAAAGTGGACTGGGAGAGGGATTTGTGCTCAGAGGGGAAATTTGGGGGGGGGGGGGGTGTATTAGTGCTAGGAGAGTGGATTGAGTAGGGATTTGTGTGCAGAAGGGAAATCTGGGGGGTATTAGTGCTATGAGAGTGGATTTGAGAGAGGGGGGGGGGGGGTTGTGCTCAGAGGGGAATTTTGGAAGGGGATTAGTGCTATAAGAGTGGATTGGGGGGGGAATTGTGCAGAGAGGGGAAATTTGGGGGAGAGATTAGTGCTAGGAGGGGGGATTTGGGTGGGAAGATTAGTGCTAGGAGAGTGGATTGGGGGAGGGGGAGGGATTTGTGCTCAGAGGGGAAATTTAGGGGGTTAGTGCTAGGAGAGTGGATTGGGGGGGGATTTGTGATCAGAGGGGAAATTTTAGGGGAGGGGTTAGTGCTAGGAGAGTGGATTGGGGAGGGGGGATTTGTGTTCAGAGGGGACATTTTATGGGTAGATAATTTTTGCTAGGAGGGGGGATTTGGGCGTGATAATTAGTGCTTGGAGAGTGGATTGGGGGGGCAGGCAGGGATATATGCTCAGAGGGATAAATTTGGTGGGGATTAGAGCTAGGAGAGTGGATTTGGGGGGGATGGGGGATTTGTACTCGGACAGTGGATTGAGGGGGGGGGGGATTTGGGCTCAGAGGGGAAATGTTTGGGAGGAATTAGTGCTAGGAGAGTGGATAGGGGGAAGGGATTTGTGCTCAGAGTGGAAATTTGGGGGGATTAGTGCTAGGAGAGTGGATTGGGAGGTGATTTGTGATCAGAGGAGAAATTTGGGGGAGGGGTTAGTGCTAGGAGAGTGGATTGGGGAGGGGGGATTTGTGTTCAGAGGGGAAATTTGAGGGGTAGATAATTTTTTGCTAGGAGGGGGGATTTGGGTGGGATGATTAGTGCTAGGAGAGTGGATTGGGGGGAGGGATTTGTGCTCAGAGGGGAAATTTGGGGTGATTAGTGCTAGGAAAGTGGATTTGGGGGGGAGGGATTTGAGTTCAGAGGGGAAATTTGGGGGAGGGATTAGTGCTAGGAGAGTGGATGGGGGGGGGATTTGTGCTAGGAGGCGGGATTTGGGGAAGGGGAGGATTTGAACTGGGGGGGTAATTGTACTGGAAGAGGGGGGAATTTTTGGTTGCGGAGAGTTTTGGCTTGCAAAGGGAATTTAGACTTAGGGGGTAAGTGTAAAGATTAGTGCTCACATTTATTTATTTTTTTTTTTGGGGGGGGGGTTGGAGGGGATTTTTGCTGACACCTAATGCTCACATTTTTTTTTTTTTTTTTTGGCGGGGGGGGGGGGGTTTGGCATCTTTGCCTTCGGTGCTAGATGACCTTGTCATGTGTTTGGGTTTGACCTGAAGAAGAGGCGGCAGCCGTATTTATAACCAACTCGTTATTTATAATTATTTTGGACCTTCAATTTCTTCGTTACTTGAAGTTTATTTTTTTTTTATTTTTTTATTTTTTCGGCCTGATGTCGGCTTGTGAATGAAATGATTTTTGTTGCTCTCAATGATTGACTCACTAAATGGTTGGAAATAGAACTGGCATTTGAATGGCTTCCCTCGCGTTGGTTCCATACATATACATGACTCCTCCAGTCAGCTTTCCATGGGATGGCGCTCCCCCCTGATTGACGCGGCTCCACTACAGCTGTGTCTAGAAGTCTCATTTCCCTCCGGTGAGGGACACTCATTTGACACATCTCAGGCTCTCCATCCTTAATTGCCGAATTTTTGTCCACCTACTTACATCAAGAGCGAGCGTTCGTCTGTCTCACTTGAGCCCCGCCGTCGATTTAATTTGTATAGTTCCGTGATCAGAGGGAGGAGGAAGGAAGAGCATTGTCTGACTCAGCCCCGGGATGAAAAGGATTATTGAGCTGTCCTTTAAAATGTTCCTTCATCGTCTTACACAGACCTGGAATATAAACAATGGCCTATAATTGAATAAATAATGAGTACAGCAACTGGATTTAATTAAACACAGATAAGATGAGGATCTTATGGAAAGGGGCCAATATCCGGGGGGGGGGGGGGGGGGGGGGGATTTTTTAACTCTTACCTGCAAAAATGGAAGTGAAAAAAGATTCATCAGGTCATCGGTAACTCAATTATAGGAACCCTAAAAACATAAAACAAAGTTAAAGAGGGGGTGACTGGGGACAAAGAGAAGCCAATGTATGAACTCCCTTCTTCAGCTCTGTGTATACAAAGGATCGTGGGGGGCTCTTGTCCATAATGGGGGGCGGTACTGACACAGCTCCAGAAGATCCACATTGGCTCACAATTGATATGATCCAGAAATATTATAGAATAGAATAAAGGTGAATAAAGCCTGTGGACCGGATGGCAGACACCCACGGGGCCATTGTTTCTCATTTTTAGGGGCTCTTTAATGACTGGCATAGTACCACGTGATTGGTGTAAGGCCAATGCGGGGCCAATATTTAAAAAGGGGTCAAAATCTTTCCCAAGTAATTACAGACCTGTTAGTGTAACTTCTATAGTTGGGAAGATACTGGAGAGTTTAATAAAAGACCACAGAGAGGAGTTCTTGCTGGAAACAAATATAGTAACCAACAGACAGCATGGAGTCATGAAAGACAGAAGTTGTCAAATAAATCTGATTTCTTTTTATGAGGAGGTGAGCAAAACCTTGGACAAAGGGGTGGTGGTGGACATGGTATACCTGGACAGAGGGGGGGTGGCGGTGGACGTGGTATACTTGGACAGAGGGGTGGCTGTGGACGTGGTATACTTGGACAGAGGGGTGGACGGTGGACGTGGTATACTTGGACAGAGGGGTGGCGGTGGACGTGGTATACTTAGACAGAGGGGTGGCGGTGGACGTGGTATACTTGGACAGAGGGGTGGCGGTGGAGGTGGTATACTTGGACAGAGGGGTGGCGGTGGACGTGGTATACGTGGACAGAGGGTTGGCGGTGGACGTGGTATACTTGGACAGAGGGGTGGCGGTGGACGTGGTATACTTAGACAGAGGGGTGGCGGTGGACGTGGTATACTTAGACAGAGGGGTGGCGGTGGACGTGGTATACTTAGACAGAGGGGTGGCGGTGGACGTGGTATACTTGGACAGAGGGGTGGTGGTGGAGGTGGTATACTTAGACAGAGGGGTGGCGGTGGACGTGGTATACTTAGACAGAGGGGTGGCGGTGGACGTGGTATACTTGGACAGAGGGGTGGCGGTGGACGTGGTATACTTGGACAGAGGGGTGGCGGTGGACATGGAATACTTGTACAGAGGGGTGGCGGTGGACGTGTTATACTTGTACAGAGGGGTGGCGGTGGACATGTTATACTTGGACAGAGGGGTGGCGGTGGACGTGGTATACTTGCACAGAGGGGTGGCGGTGGACGTGGTATACTTGGATTTTGCAAAAGTGTTTGTCACAGTTCCCCACACGGCTAATGTGTAAGGTAAAGTCTACAGGATGGAAAAATCTGTATGTAAATGGAGATAAAACTGGCTAAAAGATCGTATTCAGAGAATAGTGGGTAATGATTCATACTCTGAATGGTCTGGGGGTGTCAGTGGGGTACCCCAAGGTTCAGTGTTATTAGTGGGGTACCCCAAGGTTCAGTGTTGGGACCCTTACCTTGTAATCTATATATACAATATGGTGTCGGGGATCTCAGCCTTTGCAGATGACACCAAGCTGTGCCGGGAATAACGTCCTTACAGGATGTATCCAACTTACCAGCCGACCTCAATGCTCTGTGTAATTGGGGGACTATGGGGCCAATGAGGGCTAATGGTGATAAATGTAAGGCTCTGCACTTGGGGACTAAGAATATGCATCATACATACTAGGGGGGGGTATAACTGGGGGGTCCATGGTGGAGAAGGATCTGGGGGGGTCAATGGTGAAGGATCTGGGGGGTACTACATAAGGGGGGGGGTATGATCTCCATGTATAATACATAAGGGGGGGATATGATCTCCATGTATAATACATAAGGGGGGGATATGATCTCCATGTATAATACATAAGGGGGGGATATGATCTCCATGTATAATACATAAGGGGGGATATGATCTCCACGAATAATACATAAGGGGGATATGATCTCCATGTATAATACATAAGGGGGGATATGATCTCCATGTATAATACATAAGGGGGGATATGATCTCCATGTATAATACATAAGGGGGGATATGATCTCCATGTATAATACATAAGGGGGGATATGATCTCCATGTATAATACATAAGGGGGGGGATATGATCTCCATGTATAATACATAAGGGGGGATATGATCTCCATGTATAATACATAAGGGGGGGATATGATCTCCATGTATAATACATAAGGGGGGATGTGATCACCATGTATAATACATAAGGGGGGATATGATCTCCATGTATAATACATAAGGGGGATATGATCTCCATGTATAATACATAAGGGGGATATGATCTCCATGTATAATACATAAGGGGGGATATGATCTCCATGTATAATACATAAGGGGGATATGATCTCCATGTATAATACATAAGGGGGGATATGATCTCCATGTATAATACATAAGGGTGGATATGATCTCCGTGTATAATACATAGGGGGGGATATGATCTCCATGTATAATACATAAGGGGGGGATATGATCTCCATGTATAATACATAAGGGGGGGATATGATCTCCATGTATAATACATGAGGGGGGGGGGGATATGATCTCCATGTATAATACATAAGGGGGGGATATGATCTCCATGTATAATACATAAGGGGGGATATGATCACCATGTATAATACATAAGGGGGGATATGATCTCCATGTATAATACATAAGGGGGGGATATGATCTCCATGTATAATACATAAGGGGGGGGATATGATCTCCATGTATAATACATCAGTGGTTCATATAGTAAACTCGGTGTAGTTATTCCCCCTGAGGTCATCACAGAGGACAAGGGGGCGCTCTTTACGTCTGGAGAAAAAGAAATGTCATCTCCAAACACGGAAAGGTTTCTTCACAGTAAGAGCTGTGAGAATGTGGAATAGACTCCCTCCAGAGTTGGTTGTGGCCAGCTCAGTGGATTGCTGTAGGAAAGTCCTGGATTCTTTCTTGGATACACAGAATATAACTGGATATAACATTTATAGGGAACGTTGATCCAGGGAATATCCGATTGCCTCTCGGGGGATCAGGAAGGAATTGTTCCCTTTTTTTTGTATTTTTCAGCCAGACTAACTATGTAACAAATGGAGTCACCACTGTGAGCAGATTTTATTTAGCAGAGAATAGGTGCAGGAACCCACCCTCCCCCGGTCAACCCCTCAGATCCCAACCTTGTCCCCTCCACCCCCAATCCCACCATCCCTTGGGGAAGGGGAGTAAAATCACGCCAAATAATGGGTGTGGTCAAGGCTCAGAACTATGTTTTGCACAAGGTTCAGGAATGTGTAACACACGGAGTACTGAAGCGTCCAGCGGTGTATTTGGTGTATTTAGCTTTTGTGCCTTACTAGGCAACACAAAAATCAGATGCCCGCCAGGTGAAAGGCTGACACCGACCAACACCACATTATCTCACACCCATGCCCCCCCCCCCCCGGGCAAATATCTAAAACAGGAGCTAATGTTCCCAACACCAGAAGGAACTGACAGATGGAGCGTCTGTCCCTTGGGTTGTGGACATGGGGGAGCAGGCCCAATGGTCCCCCAGGGGACAATGAACAGAGAAGAGGCAAGACTGATGGCCAGGGCCGCCAAGGGGGGGATGGGGGGTGGCCTGTACACAGATAGGGGACCCAGGTATTCTGAGGGGCCCCACCGCCAGGGTTGCCACCTGCCCAGTTTTGACCCGGGCAGTCCAGGTTTTGACACCTGTGTCCAGTGGCAGACTGACGACTCATGGGGCCCCCGGGCAATAGGGGATCATAGGGCCCCTGTGTCCTTGCCCACACTCAAACCACACCCAGAAACGCCTATGAAAGATACCAGGGGCATCTCATGGGGCCCCCTGCTGACCCCGGGCCCTCGGGCAGTGCCCTACTACCCAAATGGTCAGTCCGTCCGCCCCTGCCTGTGTCCAGGTTTAAGTCCTATACACCGATGCCTCCAGTCCAACCATCCTGTCCCAGTGCAAGTTCCAGGTGCTCTGCTCTTAGTGCATCGCAGCACCAGTGAGGATTCAAATCCCGTGTAGGTCCAGCAAGGCAGCGGCTGCCTGTACTTCCCCCGCACAGTGGGAGGAAACTAATGCTACAGTAAAGCTGCTTCACCTCTCAGCTCCGCCCCCAAATGCCAGCACCCACACTATCCTGTGTTGCAGCGGCTCCTGCCAGTAAGGCAATCAAATTGGAGTCTTTAGGGGCAGGAGGCGCTGATATGAGGGGGGTCTCTCTGATCTAATGGAGGTCACTAAAGTGTAGGTGGGGGGTGTTATTATAAAAGGACTCTGACCTAATTGGGTTTATAGGGGGGCACTGATATTAGGTGACTCTGAGCTAATGACCTCCTCTTGGGGGACTCTAAGGGGGCCCCTGTATTATAAAGGTTTTCAGTAATGTGTCTAGGTTTCAGTCTGTCTTTGTTGAATATATGGGGGGGTGTCTCTTTGCTGGATTGGGATGTCTCTTTGCTGAATATTTGGGGCTGACTATTTTATGAATATATGGGGATGTCTCTTTGATGGATTGGGCTGACTCTTTGCTGAATTGGGATGTCTCTTTGCTGGATTGGGCCTGCTAAAAATATGGTGCTGTCTTTTTTTTTTGCATTGGACTATCTCTTTGCTGAATATTTGGGGCTGTCCCTTTGCTGGATTGGAATGTCTATTTGCTGAATATTTGGGACTGTCTATTTGCTGGATTGGGATGTCTCTTTGCTGAATATTTGGGGCTGTCTATTTGCTGGATTGGGATGTCTCTTTGCTGAATATTTGAGACTGTCTATTTGCTGGATTGGGATGTCTCTTTGCTGAATATTTGGGGCTGTCTATTTGCTGGATTGGTATGTCTCTCTGCAGTAGCTCTAGCCTCTGTAGTAGTTCTAGCCTCTGCAGTAACTCTAGCCTCTGTGGTAGCTCTAGCCTCTGTAGTTGCTCTAGCCTCTGTAGTAGCTCTAACCTCTGTAGTTGCTCTAGCCTCTGTAGTTGCTTGCTCTAGCCTCTGTAGTTGCTCTAACCTCTGTGGTAGTTCTAGCCTCTGTAGTAGCTCTAACCTCTGTGGTAGCTCTAGCCTCTGTAGTAGCTCTAGCCTCTGTAGTAGCTCTAGCCTCTGTAGTAGCTCTAGGCTCTGTAGTAGCTTTAGCCTCTGCGGTAGCTCTAGCCTCTGCGGTAGCTCTAGCCTCTGCAGTAGCTCTAGCCTCTGTAGTAGTTCTAGCCTCTGTAGTAGCTCTAGCCTCTGCAGTAGCTCTAGCCTCTGCAGTAGCTCTAGCCTCTGTAGTAGTTCTAGCCTCTGTAGTAGCTCTAGCCTCTGTGGTAGCTCTAGCCTCTGTATGTGGTGGGGAGAAAGCTCATATGGGCACTCCAGTCTCAGTGTGGCCCCACACACCCCCTTTTTTTGTAATTAGGAGCAGCATCGTCTCGTCTTTTTTTTTCATTGTTTTAGAAGAGTGGTACAAGCATTGTGCTTGCAGGACTCCATGTAAATCCCCTCCCCCCCCCCCACACACACACCCGCCCCCCCTTGTGTTTATAACCTGTACCCTGCTGGATCTGGTGGCACTTGTATTCGCTCATTATAGGGCACAATACGGATACATGGAGTGTTTCCTGAACTATTCAGAAGCTCATCCCAGAAGCCTCCGTGACGAATAATAAAGAAGTCGAGTCATTTCCCGCACTGCTCGGGACTCGGCTCTTCTGTCAGCTTTCCTTTCTCAGCGCAGCGTCCTACCTCCATGAAAGGTCATTCCGATAGCGAGTCCGGAGCCCGGCCATTTCTGGAGCATAATGATCCCATGACAGTGCAGATCTGCTCCAAGAATGAAGTGGCAACCACCGTTCCTGGCCGAGCGGGCCAAGTCCTGACTGTAATGGATTCTGCCGGGGAAGCTGTTTGATGAGGTTTAATCTCGGCCAACAAAGTAACTGAAGCGGTGACCTTTAAAGCTC